GTCACAGCTGGATACAAACCAAGCCACTAATTTCTTTCTTTTTTTCAAATCTTCTTTAGAAGGGACATCAACTTTTCTTTTTGATTTAACGTAAAAACCATAAGGATTTGGTATATCTGAGTCCAACCTATAAAATAAAATTTGGTTATTAACTTTTCACTCATAACATATTTTGGAATGTATCAATCTACTTTTAATTAGGTATGTTAGGAAATAAACCTTACCAACGCATAGCTTTTAGGTTGGGTAATTTTCTTTCTTACGAAAACAAATATTTCTAAAATAATTAAACATTCTGGTTTTAAAAGCTAATTTTCCCCTAAGATATTGTACTTCATACATTTTATTTCAGAAATATTCACATAATTATACAATTTCAAAGGATTTTACAGGCCAGTCAAATATTGATACAGCTTTTCAGAAAATGGTTCCATTATATTCAAAATGGTAAATCTTTTACTTTATTATTACTCTTATCTTTCTCTCTATTTAAACAGTTTGTCTCTTTTATTACTGCACTACCGATTGTTTCATAAAATTTAAGTAAGTTACAGCAGCGTTGATAAGTAATAAAAGAAAGGGACACTCTACAAACTGTTTAAATAGAGAAAGGTACACAAAAAAAGACCGTGTTCGATATCTGCGACTAACCATAAAAAATAAGGACATCCTTCTCTTCCTTGTGGTAGATATGCGGGTTAGTAGATTTATTTTGCCAGTAATAAATAATAAAGTAAATGATTTACAATTTTGACTTTATATTCTAAAACCGGCAAAATTAAACTGAAGCGACTATAGAAACTTTATTTAGCGTATTACGAAATTATATAAAATATGTATTACGAACCTGTAAGTCATTGTCCAGTTGTAAAATCCATTTGCATAATTAAGGTTTGCCTTTCTCATAGTTTTAGTTATAGTAATGTATTACATCTTACCATAATTTTATTTTTTAATTTACGACAGAAACCATGGTACTCATTATTCTACAGATTTTGTGGCAATATATTGAGGTCTAAAATAATGCAGAGTTCTTGGCGATATCACCGCATAATCACCATTTACCTATCGAAAAGATAGATAACCGAATTCAATATTGATTTTTTATGAAACGACGACAAAATAACAGGCTAAAGCGTACCTTTCATGCGTATATTATGGAGATCGAAAGTTTTCCATTCTTTAATAGGTAAATTTCTCTTACAATTAGAATATTGTTTCCTAATTTTTTATAAAGAAAATAAACACTTATGATAAGGTGATAAGATTTAAGAGTAACAGTTGCTAGGTACGTACATGAGTTATTCTTAAAAATGATTCTAAATATCTCATTAAGTTGTCTTCAAATTACATGTATTTAATCCATAACTATTTAATGAAATATATACAAAAAGCAAAAATGAAACATAGTTAAACAATTATGGACTAAACACAT